GAAAGGGTACTAAAATTTCCTTTTGACCAAGTATCATTTTCTGGAATGGAAAGTTCTGATTCCACTTTTTCCTAGACCTGTCTTGAAAATTTCATCTCTTTGTAGCACTGCATAGTGTCACATACTGAAGAGAACTCAGCAAAAATTACACAAAAAATAGACAATGTGACACTCAGGACTGAGAAAATGCTGGTATAACCAGAGCAAATAAAAGTGTGAGCAAACAGAGAGACTTGAGGGACAAAGATTGCAAGTTTTTATTTACCTCTGTAAGATCCTGGTAACAGTAGCAAAATTTTTCTTTTGTTTTTAGTTTTGTATTTCATCACCTGATTATATCAGGTGAAAAGGTAATTTCCAGATTATGATGCAGTCTGGAAGCAGAAGTATTGAAACAAGTTTTGTGATACAGTTTCTGTCTCCTTGCAATATTCATAGGCTCTAAAGCTCCAGTTCTAGCTGGCATGTTTGCCTACAGCCATTCATTAATCATCCTGTCTGGGAACTTTGTCCTCTACTGTCCTGATTTGTTCGTGATGTTTCCCTAAAGGGAAAACTAAGATGCTGTTTTCACAGAAAAGAAAATTCCTTGAAGAAGCCCTTCTAAAAGTATGTTAAATTTCCAAATCTCAAAACAAACTTTGAGTTTGTAAAATTTGGGCAATTTGAAATTTCTTTTAATTCATTCTTACATTCCTTAGTGTTCTGCCAAAGAATTTGAATTTGACATCTGATTTTTTTTCTGAATTTTTGCTAATGAAATCTCTCTCCAGAATTATTTGCCTAAATTTATTTAGAAAAAGATAAAATAAGATACATTAATCTAAGTGAATGTAGTTTAATTGAATATTTAGGAATAAAAACATAAATTATAATAATTGAAAATATTTTAATTAAATAACTGCTGTGCTAATTATTCAACATATTATTGTCTTCAAAGATAAGTAAATGAAATTTCTCATCTGCTGATGAAATATTAGCTGTATAGGAAATGAGAAAAGTGAATACTGGTAATTTAATTTGATTTGTTAAAAATGTTCAATTAAAAATACAAATAAATATGAAACATGACAAAAAATAAACAGTAAATGAAGTTCACTCCATATAACTTAAAGTAAACATGCTGGTGTTGTGCATAGTTATATGCAAAGTGTTTTGAACACTAAATACAGTGGAAATGAGAAAGAGAAAAATAAAGACTAGTAAAGGAGGTATAAAATGCAATAGATTCTTTAGTCTAATCTCCATGGATTGGAGAATAAATTGCTACTGTGAATTGAAGAAGGAAATATTAAATGCATTATGGTTTGGCTTTTTTAAAAATCAAATTATTGCATTGTAATGTCATTTTGTTTTAGTGGTTAGTTGAAAAAACAACAAAGACTTAGAAGATGTTTTAGCTACAGGTTAATTGTTTCTTTGGTTGGGTTTTATCTTATACTAGGGCCGAGATAAATTAATCTCTGAGCACAAGTCAGTATTTATATAAACTATATTTAAAAAGAATTTATTTTTAAAAATCTAGTTAATTTTGAATTTTACTGGACAATTATATTAGTTAATATAATGATCTTTCATTTTTTATCTAAAATCTGGACATGTTAAAGAAATTTTGTTCTTAAAGAAATGTAAAGGTTCTGTGTTGGTAAGTTTATTCTTACACTGGTTATTTATTTTTATCTTATACAGTTTAATTTCAGTTTGTAATATTCGGGCTAAGATTTTTTCCATTTAAGAGGGATTACAGCCTTTTGCTCAGTCTTGTCTTCCTCTCATGATATAACTCATGAAGTTATATTTGAAAAAAAAAAAAAGAAATTTCCCCAAAACCCCAAAGAAAGAACCTGAAAACTCTTGACAGGAGTTGTGGGAGAAATCAGTCCTCATTCTATGACAAGACTCAGTAGAGTTTAAGTGATTTTTGTAGGTTTATGATGGACACACACCCCACCTGCTCTGAAACTCATGTCAGTTTTCAACACAGATCAACAACAGGTTTACAACTCAGTTATCATGAGTTATCATAGCTGCAGCTTTCATAGTTGATTCCAAAATAGAAATAACAATAGCAAACTTATTTCCAAGAGAAATGTCTAATTTCAGGTAATATTGACAAATTTCATAAAGTTACAGGGAAAATTTCTAGGAGGAAGTAAATAGCAGTCTCATGGGTTTTGTTCACAGCTTGGTGTTGATGGCACAGCAGATCTAGATCCCAACCCAGGAATTTTACACTACAGATTTATGTACCTGAATAAGTTTATAGTAATTAATTCATGTGCTCTGATTATTTGAAGTCTTAAAAATATTTTCAGCAAAATTACTTCTTTCTCAAGAAACACATTCCCATTGGTTTTTTAATTTTTTTTTTTTTTAACTCAGGCTTGTCAATGCTTGTGTTTAAAAGTACACTGCTTAAAAGATTCATGCACTTGGCCCCTACCCAAGAATGATGTTATCATATATTCCTCGTTGCTAGTCCTAGCAATATTCTCAGTAATTTCATTGGCTGCTGGCTCATGAAATAAAGGTCAATTTAGTCTTCCACAGACAGTGCAGCTGATGGAGAGTCAGCCTACCTCATACTTTTGTGGTTCAGGTTTTGGAACAATTCACTCATTTTAAAGAGACACCAGAGAACAGTAGCGTTGTTTTAATACCAGCACATCTTTGCAAGACTTGATAAATACCAGAAACTATTATACTGCTGACACTGCCTTTTTCCAATATTGCTTTCCATCTTCATTTCCCTCAGTAATTTTACTAAGCAATTTTTAAAAATGCACTCAAAGCAAACATCATGCTTAACTTGCTAAAAGAGGAATGAAAATATAATTAATGTACTCCTGCAATATTCAGAAAGCATGGCTTTATTATTATTTTTTGCAAAGGAAGTAAATGAAAGTAGGAAAGAAATCATTTATTTCTTGCTATATTGTATCAAAATTATCTGCAATTTTAAGTAGTTCTCTGGCCTAGAAATCTGGTTTTGTAAGAAAACTTGTGAAGGACCCATAGAGTTGTGCTAGATTCCTGTAAAATATTCAGAAATTGTTAAATTCTGAGAGAATGAGTTTTATTCAGATTAGGCAAGACCAAAAAAGAAAAATCTGGTAAAGGTAAAATTGTTGAAATAAAAATTCAAGGTTTAAATAAAAAAAAACCCTAAAAACCAAAAACAAACAAAGCAAAAGCAGAACACAGAAGTGAAAATATGAAAATGCACAGAATTCTAATGGAAGAGGGAATTCTTTCTTTCAGAGCAGCAATGGTTCTCTCCATTTCAAGAAGACAATCAGTTTCTACCACCTGAGTAATAACTGCCAAGCTGGGAAAGATTTGTTGGGTGCCGTACTGGGAATGGGGAACATACTAATGCTTAGCATAGTGAAACTCAGATAGCTTTGTGTGTATTAGCACTTAAGTAATTACTTTGTACTTTGAAGCTGTGTTTATCCAGCCTGCAGAATATTTTTGTGGATGGTAAAAGTTGCCCAAACTGTTACACACAGAAGGAGAGTTATACTGGGAAAAGTGGAGAAGACTGATGTAGCATCCAGAAAGAAATTGGGAAGACATTTTTTGATAGAGGCTTGCTGAGATTGGTGCCTCTGGTAAGCACGGTGGAGGGGAGGCACTGATTACATCACTCCCATGTTCCCAACAAATCTCTGTATTTCCATACATTGAAACTCCTCTTTCAGCAGTGACAATCAGAACAAGCTCTGTCACTGAATCCCGAGCAAAAGGGGTGTCAGTAAGAGTTTTATTGACTTCAATAGACTCTTTACATAGAATATTTCATACCTATTTTGCCTATAATTAATGTTATCTGCGCATAGATATAGATTTATAGTGCCTTAGGGTATTTGGAGGATCATACTATATGTTAGCAATAAAGAACCAAATTTTGTGAAAATAGTTGTTTGTTAGTCTTTCTGTAAGGATAAAAGTTTTGCTGTTAAAAGAATTCGATATGTATTCCACACAAAGGATTTATCATTGATTTAATGGAGTAGTTCCATTTCTAGATCCAGAATGAAATGTGGAAAGATAAGAGGCAATGCCTTTTAACATTACCTAGAGTTTATCTCTCTCAAGTTTAACAAGGAAAAGATTATTATCAGAAAAGAGAGCAGCCTATGTAAAAGGATAGCTATAAGGTAAAATGCCTAGGAAACTAAAAAGGAATACCTCTGAGGAATCTGCACACAATTTGGTTTATGGAAAGCAAAAACAACCAATAAACTAAACATCAAAATGGAAAAAATAATTTTCTTTCTTTTCTTTATTTTTAACATTCTAGTACCTTGCTTTTCTTTGAGAAAAAAGATGTTTCCATTATTTTTAATTTTTTTTAATTAATTTTTTAATATTTCCATTTAAAAATCAGGAGCTTTTATCTGCCAACAATCTGAAAAGTGTTTATGGTGTATCATATGAAATAACCATATTATCTTTAAAAAAATGTATTTTTCTATAGAAATGGTTTGTTTTCTTTGATGCTTTTGTGATATGCATACTAACAGATGTATTTCCCTCAACAAAGTTGCATGAAGTATAGTAAATTCTCATTCACTTACAATTTTTCTTCACATTTTATTTCATACATATGGAGATGTACATCTCATACATATGAGATGTACTCAGTAATACTATTACTATAGTATAACCGAGTGCATCTCATATGAATGAGATAATTGTTGCTTACTTGGACTTGTACTCTTATTTCCAGTGCAGAGAAAGACAAAAAATAAGCCCACATTACTATGAATGATACTCCAAACCAATTAGAGTGGGCAGAATAATTGTATTTATTTTACTTATTTCGCTAATGGTCACAGTGAGATGTACTGCTAAAATGCAGTGTAATTTTTAATAATAGGGGAAAACAAATTCTGTCTTTTGTAATATGAAGTAGACCAAGGAAAGGCTCCAAATGAGCTAAAGGAGTTGAAAGGGATTTTTTTGTTGTTTCCCCCCCCCCCCCAGCTGGACCACACGAGAGAAATAGATGGTCTGAGAACTCTCCTATTATTCATTGTTGTGTTTTGAAAGATTCAGAAAAAGAAGAAGATTATTTTTCTTTGAACCCTTTATCAATACACAGAAATAATACTTCATCTGCTCAAGAAATTTCTATAATACTTCATCTGCTCAAGAAATTTCTATCTTAGAGTATAAAAGATTGCCTTTGAGCAAAATGACAGAGTAGGGTGAGGTTTTTTTGTTGCCTTTTTTTTTTGTTATTATCAAGACATCTATATGCTCAGATATTATGTATTAATCTTCTACAGGTATGAGCTTACCACTGAAAAAAACCTAGAAGGTGCTTAGAACAACTTATCCTCTTATTCTTGATTTTGTATATCTCAAATTATTTGAAGGAACTCTAGAAGTCTCTCATGTCAAAATGTCAGTAAATTTTGTTTGTATGTACATCAATAAATCTGAAAAGTCACTCAAATATTTCTGTGGTGAGAAGAGAATTATAGAGACAATTAAAACTGCAATAGTGGAAAACATTTTATCTACTAATGGTGAAGACTTTGAAGCTCTTATTTCTGGGACCACATATCACATCCTGATTGACATTTAAGTAATATACAGCACATTTAAAAATAAGGTTAAAGTGTGTTCTGTAAACAAACTGAATTAGTAACACATTTACGTTCATGGAAAATCTGTGAATAAATTTCAGTCACCAATAAAAGCACTATATACCTATACAGTACCCATGTAGTAGCAGATACTCTGCTCACTTTTCAACCTATTGAACAACACTGATAGCAGAAGAGTCCACAGCAATGTAATTGGAAATAAAAAATTAATGATAACATTCTATGTGTCAGGAAACAAAAAATGTAGGCATTTAAGTTTGCAAATGCAGAAGAAAATGCTTCAACTCCAAATGCTCCAATTAGTTGTGTAGAAACTGACTTTCAAATAAAAGACTTTCATGACTTATAATTCAATAATATTTAAAGACTCATTGAAGATGATATCAAAAACCAGCACAGGTAGAAGTTCTTGTCAATGATTATTTTATAACACATTAAAGTCTGCAGTCTTGTAAACATACAAGTAGTAGTTTATATTTTTCTCCACCTCACCTCCTGTTTACTTTAAAATACTCTGAAAAGAATAAACTGAAAAATCAGAAATATGCAACTTACCCATCTTATCATTATTCTAAAAAAAATAACAGAAACTGATGCAGGAAGACATTTTAACTGAATGACTTTTGATCACCATAATGTAAAAATATATTAATGGTTTCATTGTCATAAACCCTTTATAAACCTAATTTAAATTATTTTGCTACCCCAAAGGGGTATTTTAATTTTATGATTTAAAATTAAAACATTAAAAGGCACATGTGTCAAGACTGAAAAAATCAGAGGTGGTGTGTTGTATTCTTGCTGTGTAATTAAGAGAGATTCAGGGATCAGACATTGCAGCCTAAACCTGCTGCAGAGAGGTGTCAGCTGAGCTACTGAACTATGACTGCACATTAGCGTGGTGCCAGACTAAAGCTACTGAGTGCTGTCCAGTGTTGTCTCAAGGACTGAAAATGTTTCTGCTTCTGTGTTTAACATGAGCAATTTTCCACACTGTGTGTCACTAAGGAGTAGAGACATTTGCTAAGTTGCTTAAATGCCTTAGTGCTTACAAGGTCAGGGCTAAACTTTTATTTCCTTAGTTATGTGTGCACTCAGCACTAGATCTTGATCTTCATTAAGTGTTTTTATCTATCTAGTATTACATTGATTTCACTGGGATATATTCACACTGTAGATGAGTCAGTATTCTGCATGCAAAACTTTATTGTGAGCATCAGCAGTATTTTAGTAAGAACAGCTTTTAAAATTCTATTTTTAAAGTAAAAATTTGTATGCTTAGTACCAGAGTAACCAAGAATAATGATTTCTCAAAAAACTGGGATTTTTGATGCCAATATTTCCACCAGGATCAATTTGAATTAAATTATATAGCACAAAAAACAACTAACACAAGCCTCATGTGTAGATAATCTAAACTGACAAACATTTTTATAGCCAGAAGTTATCCTGAAGACATATGGATGATGGCTGTACAGTTCTCCGAAAAGATGAATATTCTCTCCACTTTTATAGGATTGTTCAGTTACATCTTCTCATAAAATCAGTTAACTTCTTGAAGCAATCTGTGTTGCTGATCTGGACAAAAAAGCTGGACAAAAGCTGGACCAAAAAAAAAGAAAAAAATTAATTAAGTCAAATAGGAAGAGGTCTCATGAGAAGATACTAACTTAGATGCTTAGGATAAAGAAGCTGAATGCTAAATTAAAAGTATTGACTTATTCAAATATGTTCATGTTACGCAATTTCAGATTAAAAAGTAAAGCATCACTTAAAGAATACATGAACATTCTTGTGGGATCTCTGTAAGTAGTTAAAGTTCAATCTACAATTTACAAGGTATAAGAAACTTTTTACAGGAAAAAGTCTTCATACTTATGAGAAGATTTCTTTTTATATATTTTAATCTATCAGGAACAGTTCTACCCTTTAATTATAGAAACTATTTATATTCCTTTACATAAAACTTTATTTTGTAGATAGAAATTTTTGCCAACTTTTTAAATTCAAATGTTCCATGAAGGAACTTATTTTCTTCATATATAACACTTTATTTTTTTTAATTGGTTTTTTCTTTTCTGTGTGATAGCATTTGTGCAGGAATTACATTCTGTGTAACATTCAGAAAATTATAACTTTAAATTCCAATTCTTTTTACTGTTTTTTAAGGATGGACTTGACCTCATATGCGTAATTATTTATTATTCATCCATTAATCTGTTTCTTAATAATAGTCTGAGGAGGCTCTACATTTCAACATTCCTTTTTCTAAATATATTATTGAAAAGAAGCTTGGAAAGTGACTGAGACCTCTGTGTCTTAACCACCAAACCATTAAAGTTTGCATAATATGAATGAGCTTCAGTGTATATTTCAGATTTATTTAAAGACAACGTGAAAGCTGGTTCAAAGCTTGCTCACAGCACAACATTAGCATCACACCCAGTAATCCTTACAAGAAGCACACACCTCTTGGCAGTAAGTCAGAAGTGGCCGCTGTCCCTGAAGCAGTAAGGCATGGAACCAATATGATTGTTAGGCATGGCCAGCTCCTGGGAACTTCAAGCCATTTTGCAAGAGCAGTTTGAAAACTGCTATTTAAGGAGGCAGAAGCACATACAGTTATTTTTAGATGCAAGATATTAAAAGGTTGCTAAAAAAGGTCTTGCTACATCAGCATCAAAGGATCAGAGTATCTGGATATTCCAACATTTGAATCTTATTTTGGCTTCTGGTTTTTGGGTTTTTTTGTGACTTTGGACTCAAAATTCATAACACAACTAATCTCACCTGATGTTAAATAGCCTTTGATCTAAACTAACCATTTAGGATCTTGCAAGAGCAAAGGAACAATTATTTCCAGGGAAGATTCATCATTTTTCCCTTCAACATATTTTATAATTCGGAATCAACCAGTTCTTATAAATGTATTTCACTGACTATTAAGAAAGTTAATATAATAATTATATATCATATGTTTATATTACATACCCAGCTTTGAAATCCATAGTTCCATTTATGGCAGCAGACTCCATTTCCCATTATGTAAAATAAATTCTAGATTTTGTTAAAAAAAGTTTTGATTTTCTTTTGTTTTTAAAATATATTTAGTGTGCTTTTCCTTTTTAATTTAAGGTAAGCAAACTGGGCATCTTAAGTCTAATATTGCCAATTGGGTGAATAAGTAACTGTAGTAAAATTTTAAAGGGATTTGATATATAAAAATATTCATTTAAAAAAAAGAAAAAAGGAAAAACATTAAAACAATCTCTATTCTTCTCAGAATTATAATCTGACTGCTAATTAATGAGTTTGGTAAAGAGTCTCCTTTCATAGTTGTGAGTTCTATTGCTATACAGAAAATTTAAAGAGAAACATCTGGGCAGAATCCTCCATCTTTGACTCAAAGGAGATTTTCTCAAGTGTAACATAACACTTGATGCAGTTTCCAGTCAGGCCATGAGTTCAAAAGGCTTATTCATGCTTGAAAGCTTTGGACTATCTGCTAGATACACCTGCACGCAGTCTTCTTATTTTTGAGAGGAATCCTTTTCACGCTGTCACCACAACCAACCTCACTTCAGGAGGATTTTCAAAATGCAATCATTGCATGAACAGTGGCTGACCTCGGCAGCAGGCAGTGTCTTTTAGCAATGAATGCTTATAAAAGCAGACAACTGCTAGAATTACTGCCTCTTTCCAATTCTACCTCCTGCACACCTAAAGAGATAGAATATGAAAGATGAAACCAGCTCATTTTAGTAGCACTAAATACAAGCACAGCTAAATTTGGATGCATTTTCTGAAGGTTTTGATGACTGTGGAAGTCCTCTCTGACAAGCTTCTTACTACAAAAGTCTCTAAAGGATGCCTCAGTGCTGTTTTTTCAGTTCTCAGCTATTTTTCTCCTTGCACAGTGCTATTAATACATATACCCATTAAATGTAACCTCAGAACTTTTCAAAACCAAGTGTTGGAACTTTGTAACTGCACAAATAATCATGATTCATCTTTGATTTTGCCTGAAAGGAAAAAAAGGTCACATATGGTTGTTTATGGCCTGCAACTATTACTCAGAAGATATATAGCTCTTGAAAAGTACTAGAATGTATAAATATAACTAGGATTAAAGGGAAGTGCTAATGATTTTGGTAAAGACTAAATGCTGCACTATCTAAGTGTTGCAACTTAGATAGAATCAGTAGAGAGCTCCTAGCTCTTTTAAGACATTTTTTCTGAGAATCACAGAGCTCTTAACCCTCATGTGCAAGAAATCAGATAGGGAAGGCCAGAGACAAGCATGGCTATGTGTTCTGGTTTGGACTGGGATAGCTTTCTTCATAGTTGCTACTACAGGAAAACAGGGCTGATAACACAGTGATCTTTCTAAACAGTGTTTACACAGAGCTAAGGCCTTTTCTGTTTTCACCTCACACCACCACTGAGGAGGCTGGGGGTACATTAGAAGTTGAGAAGGGACACAAGCAGATCAGGTGACCCCAAATGACCAAAGGGATATTTCATACCTTATGGCATCATGATCAGCACATAAAGTTGGGGGAACAAAAGAGGGGAAATTTCAGAGTGATGCCAGTTGTGTTCCCAAGTTAACTGTTGACTGTGACAGAGCCCTGGTCTCCTGGAGATGGCTGAACACCTGTCTGCCAATGGGAAATGGTGAATGAATTCCTTGTTTAGCGTTGGTTGTCTCTGCTGCTTTTGCTTTACCTGTCAAACTGTCTTAATCTCAACCCACAAGTTTTCTCACTTTTACTCTTCCAATTCTCTCCCCTATTCCACTCGGGGAGAGTGAATGAGCAGCTGAGTGGGGCTTAATTGCCATTTGGAGTTAACTCAAAAGTCTGACAGGGTATCATTACATCAACACAAGCTTACTTATGACAGGTTATGATACCTAGTGAAGTTTCTATTTCGAGGGAAAGCAAGGAACATGTTGTGTTTGCAGTTAGGGTTACAATGATTTTACTATTTTTGTAGATAGAGTCTACTCTTTTTTTAAGGTATGGTGAAAGTAACACCTCCTTCTGGTCAAAATAAAGTGTGGGAAAGAAGAGCACAGGCAGTGCAACTAGGGTCTTATAGCCCGAGAAGGATCGAGAAATTCTCTGTAGGCACAGGATAAGAAATGCTAAGGTAGAGCTGAAGATGAATTTGGCAACTTTGAAGAACAGTAAGGAGGGGCTTCTACAGATACATGGATCATAAAGGGAAGATTTTTAAAAAATTGTGTCCCAAATAAATAAGATAGCCTGGAGAATATAAGGCCCCAGAGTGAACTCATCAGGGCCTTTCACTACTTGAAAGAGCTTACATAAAGGAGGGAAAGTTACATTTTACATGGGGAGATAGTGGTAGGATGAGAGGGAAAGGTTTAAACCTAAAAGAGGAGAGATTTAAATCAGATTGTAGGAAGATATTATTTACTCAGTGGGTAGTGACACTCTAGTTACCCCGAGAAGTTGATGCCCCATCCCTGGAAGTCCAAGGTCAGGTTGGATGGGGCCCTGTGCAGCCTGATCAAGTCAGTGGAATCCCTCCTGTATTTGCACTGCCCATAACAGAGCGCTGAAACTAGATGATTTTTATGGTTCCTTCCAACTGAGCTATGACTAAATTCCCCATGTAGAAGGCTTTTCAAATTTGGCTGCTTCACTCTGGGCAACTAAAATCCTCAATGATGTGAGCTTTAAGTGCCAGTTTACACCCATCAGCTCCATGGTACTGAATACTCATAAGTATTGTAATTCTAAGGACTAACAGCTTTAAATAAACAATGATCATGACTGATAATAAGTAAGAACTACTGACATAAAGTACATTGTCAATAAATGCGATGTAGTAAATTTTTCAAAGGTTAAACGTGTCCTGATTAATGTAATTTAAATTCTTCCATCACACTGATTGCTAATTGTCTCTAATCTCTCTAATTCTCATAGATATATTTATCAGCTATATGACAAGATGAAATAAACCACTTCAATGCATCTCGGATACCAATAAATGCCAATGCATGCTCAGCTTATTCATTCTTTATTTTCTGTATTCAATAGTCTTCATTTATTGTTTGGTGATGTTCATGTGTGCTTATCTGCAGACACCCTTTTTGAGGTTCAGAATCCAGAGCTGGGTCACACTTAGGCTGTGAGTCATCTTCCTAAATCACAAGTGTGCAGTGCCTGCTGAGATGCCAGGAAATGACTACTGGTTCATAAAGACACCTAACTCCTTTGTCATATTTGTGATTCACATATAATCTTTTTGGCTATTTGGGGCAGTCTCAAATGGCACAAACTGGCCGTATACAGACATCTCAGTCATAGACTGTATGTCCATTGAGCTCGTCACACTTGTCTCTCTAAAGTCATGGAAATAAAACAGCACCTCTCAAGAGCAATTTACACAAAAAGAATCTAAATGACATGCTTTCGCTCTGGAAGTACCTGTTTTTCTCTGTGGCCTATATTCTCCTTTAATTATTGAGATGTATTTAGGCAAACAAATCCCATTCTGTGAAATCAAAACAAAAAAATAATTCAGTAAAAGTGCTATCAAAGATACTTTGAATCACCATGTTCTGACAGAAAACTTTATATTATCTTTTGCTAGTTGAGAGTTGTAACATGTTGGAAAGTTTTCATAAATTTTCTATGTTCTTATTGTTTGCTTTTGGAAAGGCAAAATTTTTTGTATGCATGTAAATAGAATAGCAACATAACTGAATTGTAAGCTATGCTTCTACACATATGGTGCAGAGGGAGATGATGTAAGTAATTAGTTTAAATTTTTGGAAAAAGGATGAAAAAAATGGAAGAGAAAAAACATCCTTTTCTGCCTTAAATTTGGACAGATATGAAAATAAAAGCAAGCAGCAAATAAAAATTATTCTATGATAATCGTTATCTTTTTGTATAGGATTTTATAGAGGAGATGTCAGTTTCACCATGCCTTTGAGAAAGGGTAGACTCTTCCTACAAAAATTGAAAAGCCATTTTAACCATAACTGCAAACACAACATGATCCTTGCTTTCCCTCAAAATAGGAGCTTCATTAGGTAGTACAACCTGCCATGAGTAAGTTTGCATTAAGCTAATGACACCCTGTCAGTTTGGCTACCCAAACATCTTGATTGTATCACACTGGCTGTTGTGGGTTAACCCCAGGTGGTAACTAAGCACTGCACAACTGATCACTCTCTCTCCCTGGGTGGAATGTGAGAGAGCATTAGAAGAGTAAAAGTAAGAAAACTTGTTGATTGAGATAAAACTAGTTCAAAAAAGAAAGCAAAAGCAGCAGAGACAAGCAGAGCACATTAAGGAATTCATTCACCACTTCCCATTGGCAGGCAGGTGTTCAGACATGTCCAGGAGAGCAGAGTTCCATCAGGTGTGATGGTGATGTGGGGAGACAAATGGTACCACTCTGAACATCCCAATTCTCTCTTCTTTGCCCAGCTTTATGTGCTAAGCATGATGTCTTGTTTGAGATATCCTTTGGCCAACTGGAGTCAGCTGCCCCAGATGGGTCATGTCCCAGGTGCACACCCAGCCACCTTGATGAGAGGTTGCAGTGAGAAACAGAAAGTTCCTCAACTCTGTATGAGCTTTTCTCAGAAAAAACTATAGCATAGGTGTGTTATATTCACCATTTTCATCACAAATCCAAAACATTTCACCATGAAACCTGCTATGAAGAAAATTAATTCCATTCATCCAAATGGGATGCAGGAGTGTATGAGATTCAAAAGAAAGTTGTGATTCTTTTCACAAGTGACTTCTGAAAAATTTAGTTATGGTGTGATTCAACATCAGACTTTGAAATGGAATTTAATTCAATTTCAATACACTTGCATTAGATGTCAATATTGGTGATTAGTCCAAATTCTTGCTATAGTCAGTGGAAATCTGGGCTCAATTATAATGTAGGAACATTATACCTTTCTTTCTTTTTATTAGTTCTTGAGATACCAACAACCCCAGCCCATTGATCCAGACTATGAAAAATGAACATCTTATAGAATTCAAAGATTGTCCATATGATATGAAGGAAACAACATTGTAAGCAAAATTGACTTATGGTTTATGAGCCTAACAACCATATCTCAATATTTTCTTTCTTAATGCCTGTAATTTTTATTAGCTTTATAGGATTTTTCTATATTCATGTAATCCATTAAAAATCTACCATGATTTTTAGCTATGATTTGTAGTTATTGCATGAAAAATTATCATTTAATTTATACTGAAATTATGCCATACCTTAATATAAACAGCAAAACCTTGAATTGATATAAATATTCAGTTAAAAAAAAAAAAGAAAAAAACCACCACCACCACCCCCTGTTACCTCCACACCACAGGATTTAATCTATTGTGCATTACCACTGACCCATTTAGTGTAGAGAAGACACAATAAATCAATGTTTGTTAACATATGCTTAAGTAGAAAAGCAATTTCAAGGGTCAGGCAACCTAGTCATGAAATGTCTGTGAAGCAGTGGTGCATTGATTGCTGAGAAGGACACAGCCAAAATGAAAAAAATTCTCTGATTTTTGTGCACACTCTGATTCCCTTTTTATTGTTATTTTGATCAAACACTTGCTTCTCTGTCAATAGCAGTGATTAACAACACATCCATAAAACCCCAGATTTAAAATAGTATTATTTTTTAAGTGATTGGGGTGGGCAAGAATGGAAACAATATCAGCAGCATAAAATAAAATGCAGTGCTCAGAATGTGTAATTTCAGGTCTGGATTTGAACATTCACTAGTTCCAAAAGTTAGTTTCCTTTCAAAGTCAGAGGAGATGAGGACAGAAAAACTCACCATTATGCCGAATTTGAGATGAACACTCAGCAGGTGAAATAGATGGCAGAGACTGAAACATCATACATATTCACATTAGTACCATTAAATGTGTCCACAAGATGTATGCATTCCTAAAGGAAAGAATCAACGATACAATCTGAGCCATCTCCTGTGAACCAGGAATTACACGAGAAATATATCTGTTTCTTTAAAAGAGTCTGGTCCCTACTATCTTAATTTTATTCAAGTCCAAAGCCTCTTTGAAATTTTTCCAGCACTGTTTCTAATAAGGCTCAGTTGACTGCCTAATGCATAATAGAACTTTCTTCAGCTAAAAATATTAAAACTTTTATCCACCTACCTTGACCTCCAAATTAGCATGTAAGGAATATGACAGTGAAAGTAGATGCTGAATTTTTATTAGACACTCTAGTATCTTCAGTTCTGTTAATTTAGGGTGAAACCAAAGTGTCAAGAAGTCTCCTTTTTTGTATTGTATAGAAAGAATCATTTATGCATTATTAAAATACAGCATAGCCTGGCAGAATTTTTAAAAAGAGAAAAAAATCCTAGGCATGCATGTTTTTTAATGATCTACCTTTAATAGAAAACAGCTTCCATTACCTTTCTAATAGAAAAAGTTAGCTGGGTTTTCGTTTATGAACAGAGCTTGCTTAGTTTTGCCTCAGAGGTCTTAAAAATATTTAATGGATATTTAAAATTATAATGCATAATGTTTGATGTCTTCAATTGTCATTCATATAAAATTGTTATCAAGTTAACTTTGTCAAAGTAATAAGACAGAAGCTTGGCCATATTTTAGTTTTGACTTTAAATATTAACTGATATTTCAATCAGTCTCTTCATAATATATTTACATTTACTGTTAAAGTGAATTTGTATTTGAATGGTATTTTTAAGTGAACATTTAATTTTTGTATATTTCCACAGTGCTGTTCATAAAAAAGTACATTGCTATTGTGAAACTGATCTTCAATGTATAAAGATTATGCAATAATCTTTAATAATTATGGATAAAGACTAGTTAAGTAGCAAGCCTGTCTATTAAGACAATTTGTAATGTCTCCATTAACACCGTGTCCAAATGATTGATAATTGTGTGTACACAGGAGGGAAGCGAAGCCATCCAGAGGGCCTTTGACAGGCTTGAGAGGTGGGGCTGTGTGAACATCGTAGTGTTCAATGGGCCCAAGTGCAAGGTCCTGCATTGGGTTGGGGAAATCCCAAATACAGGCTGGGAGGAGAATGGATTGAGACCAGCTCTGTGGAGAAGGACTTGGGATTGTTGGCGGATGCGAACCCTGACATGAGCTAATAACATTCACTTGCAACCCAGAAAGCCAATCAAATCCCAGGCTGTGTCAAAAGAAGAATGGCCAGCAGGTTGAGGGAGGTGATTCCCCCTGGTTTTTTCACTCTCCTGACATCCTGCCTGGATTTCCACACTCAGCTCTGGGCCCGTAACCTGAGAAGGACCCTCTGAAGAAAGTCTGAAGGAGCATCACGAAGATGATCAGAGGGCTGGAGCAAGGGCCTCCTCTCCTGTGAAGACAGGCTGATGGAGGTGGGCTTGCTCAGCCTGGAAAAGAGAAGACTCAGGGGAGACTTTATAGCACCTTCCAGTACCTAAAAGAGGCCATCAAGAAAGCTGTACAGGGACTTTTTACGTCTGGTGTTGGTTGGACTTTCAGACCATGAGTTATAAATTCCACTCAGTTCTGTAGAAATATGATTAGGTCTGTATTGATAGTAGTTTATTTCCTAGCAATCCAGAAGGTAGAAACAGACGTGTGCTAAGGGAAATGTAATAACTTAATTATGGAATATTTGTTAAAGTCAAAAAGTACATCAGCTGAGCTCCAAAAATCCTAAAAGAAGAAGAAAGTATTCTATACTCTTACCAGGCGTGTTTTTATTTTTGGTATATGCTATGTTACAAAAATAGTGAGAGACACTAATGATGAAATGCTTTCTGAGACTGAATGTTTTCACTTCCATAGTTATTTAGTGGAAAAAATCAATGTGTTTGACCAATACGTAGGCTTTCAAGAGACCTTTTTAAGAATATCATGTTTTATGCATTTTACTTTTCTATGTGTGAAGAATGGTCCATCTTTTTTGTCCACTGTTCATTGGTCCACTGTTTCTATGGCATGGTCTATTAAAAAATTCACTAGGTCATTGTGGAAATCTGTCTTCTGTCTGATGAAAATCAGGTAGATACCTCTGGAATGAGAAAGGCAACAAATTCCGAGAATACCTGAATAGCCCAGGTGGAAAACAGGCATTCAGTTTTCCAGAGGCAAGGCAGAAATCATGTTTTAGATTGGTTGCACATGCTGTTCTAGACTGAGGGCCCCCTTCTCCAGAGATCCTAAAGGATGCCAGTTTAAGAAAAACAAGAGGTGTCATATTGCAATAGTTCAGTGGAATTTTTAGCATACCCCTCATACTGCAGTCTATCTTGACTACATCTAATTTACAGTATTAAAAGATAATTCAAAAGACCTTAAGGAGTTTCTCTCTCTGAAAGAGGGAGATTTTTTAAAATTTCATTTTCTTGTAAATCACAATATTAGAAGATCTTTCACCTTATGTGCTTACTTAAGACTTGGGAACAAGCATATTCAGAGGAAAGATCTAGATGAATTGAAGACCCATCACAAAATTCATGTATCTGTGACTAACAGCTGTGGAACAGTTAGCACGATGGTTTTAGTAGGTATCATGATTGTAGGAGCATATGTGGTGTTCTAGGCATAACTAACATGGCCTGAAGCAGCATGCAGAAAAAAAGTTGAGTTGAATAGTTATGGAAATTTTAAACTGTGCAAACTGTGCAAAAACTGTGTTTATGCAGGCCCAAAATTTTATATAAGCAAGATTTTGTTATGTTGCAGTTTCTAAATTTTGCAGAACATTTATGGAAGCTGGAAGCCAAATCAGAGACTACAAAAAAAGAACCTTGGGTGTTTTGATAATTACAAAGCATTCATGGCCAGCTGGAAGTCACAGCAATGTGTACTTAACTGCTTTGAATAGTCTGTGTTTTGCATGTAGTAATCTGTGTGCATTTGCTCTGATTGCTCAAGGGGAAATAATTACTGTTTATGAAAGATTGTCCATTATTCCCCAATTAGAGATAAAAAACATTCTATAACAGGAAAAATCTGGCTGTTCTGTAGACTTCATGAGAAACCTTTCCTTAGTGATGCAGTACTCTATAAAAAACACTGTTGTCATCCAGGGTGCTACAAAAGCAAGGGGTCAAAATCCCATGGATTTTAAAATATATCTTGAATTGCTATGAATTTACTACAACACTTTAATTGAACATGAGATGGCATATGAACTGTAAGGAATTCATGCTCAGTTGTGATTTCCTTTGTTCCTCCATAGCTTAGGGTTAGAAAAGACAAGGACACAGGAAAACAAAGAAAGAAAGAAAGAAAGAAACACCCCAAAAAAAACAAAAAAATACCCCAAAAAACAAAAACCCCACTATTCGTTTTTTGACCCAGAAACAGAGAAGACAAGGTTTCAACTTTTCCTTTCCCATCAATTTTTTTGTCTTGAGGGGAGTATGTGGAACACAGTACCCATGTTGCACATCCTCGTAGGACTAATGTCTGAATGGGTCCTGCTGTAGTGCCATTTCCAGTCCCAGTAAGCCAAAGAGTCAATTTCTTCTATTCATACTTTAATCGGTTAATTATAGGGTTTCTATTAATACTTAGTTTAGATGGTAGTATACAAAGATTTGAACTATACACAGATTTGAAGTAAGGGAATTCAGTAATATATGAAATCTTTTGCTACTAGGAAGATCTAACAGAAAATATTTCTTAGTGATAATAAAATTTGATAAACAATCACAATTTCTATGCCATCATCCAGAAGCAATGCTGCAAAAGCTTATGCTGAGCTGCACTTAAAGATAAAAGATGCCCTCTAGTTTCTATTCACATCTGTATGTGTTCTAAAATGAATAGGATTTCTGGGTCTGACAGTGGTATTAATTTTTATTTTCCTAATGTTTGTCCTTTATTATTTTAGAATAATATTCTAATTCAAGGTTTAACTGTCTGTGATTCTGTCTGTGCTGTTCAAACTGAAGTTGTACTCGTGGTCTATACAGACAAGCATATTACTTCCTTGGCAAAGCAGCAGGAACACTACTCCAAGTATCAATTGTCATTTGTACATTTCCAATGGTTTTTCTGTTCTCAGGAGAAACATTACCTGGATTTACCCAATTTCACAAGACTTTTCTGTTTGAATAAAACTATGACCTAACTCAGAGAGCCAAAATTGCTTCTCATTTCCTCACACTAACTTCATACTTGCTTCAGATTTGGCGTGAGACACAAATGGGCCAAGATCTGCACCCTAATTTCCACTGAAAAGGAGCTGGTGTATAAAAGTATGTAAGTTGGATCAGTCTCAGAGTGCTGAAACCAGCCAGCTGGAAGTGTTCACATGCACTGACAAGTTTATTTAGTTATATTTTCAAAGTCTTTCACTAAGTAAAAACCCAACCCATAAAAAAAAAAAGAAAAAAAGAAAAAAAACCCCAACAAAATAATCAAAAAACCAACTAATCAACCAACCGAACAAACAAAAAAAAAACAAAAACAAAAACAAAACAACCCAAAAAAACCTTAAAACCAAAACTCCAGCATTATTTCCAAGCAAGACATTGAGATGAACTTAAACTAGGACAGGTCTCCTGTCAGTTGAATAGCTGTGGAGACAACCAGGTACCTGCAAGCACATAGAATCAAATAAATTTCCATTAATTTTTCTTTTAAGGAAAAATAAATGAGTGCAAATGTTTAAGAGGCTGAGGAGCAGATTTTAAACAACAACAACAAAAAAAAAAAGTGCAAAAAAACCCCCAAACAAACATCAGATACAATTCCAGCCATAACCTGTGGTGCACTGATCTAGTTGCATACAGCTTCTCAAGGGGAGACAAGATCTAGGTGTTAGCCTCAGGTACCTCAGGCTTGTGAACTTGTATATCTCTGTATCTAAATTATTTTTTACAAGAATTAGTATGCATTTTATTTTTCACATAAAAGATATGCATTCCAGATAAAGAACTGAA